TTGCATTTATTATTAGAAAATTAAAAGTCTATTGACTGATGACTTCATGTAGGAGTCGGATGTCATTGATATCTTTTATACCATTTATTATTATGTCTTTTCATTTATCACTTATTTATCGTTTATTGAGAAAACTTTTTGTGTTTCTTATGAAACAGCAATATTACAAACATTTCCGTTAATTAATTAGTTATAACAACGAGTGGACGAGTAATTGAATTAAAAGCACAATAATATGTGTCATAAAACATATCGTCAAATATGTAATGAAATTCAGTGCTTAAGTCTTAAGATATGAATTTTGATAAATTGTCAACGTTGTTAAAAACCCCAAGAATTCCGGCGAAACTAATTGTTCTGTTATCAGGAAAATAGCATTTTCTCCAAAACTATACTAAAGGAGGCATTTGTTCTCACAATTTCTTGAAAAAAAATTTATTTTATTTTCCTTAAAATATTTTTAAAAATTATGAAATTGTTTTGTGTGTGAATACTGTACTTATAATTGAATTTAATTAACGGTTTAGCTATCAGTAAATCTCGCAAATAATTTTTAATGAAAGTTTTGTTTAGTTTGAAACGATTCTCAAGCATATCGTTGTTCATACTATTGACTCAAATTAGTTATGAATGAGAATTAGATTGTGTTTTACGAGTTAAACAATAATACATAACAAACATTGTTTTATTGCTATACCAATCATAGGATTTCCATTGCAGTTATGGCATAATATAAGTATACAATTAAAAATATGATTCGTGTAATGCTGTAAATGAATTGAGTTTTTATTCTTAGACACGTTTATTTAAAAAAATAACACAAATTCCTAATACAGTTCAACACAACAAAACATGTTTTAGACAATGAATACACGATTTTTAGAGATGCTTTCATAATTATTCAATTAATCACTTGACTAGTTGTACACTAGTTGTAGGAAACAAGCAATCAATTAATATTTCCACAATTTATTCAAATTATATCCTTTCAAACATATATATTGAGGCAATTTATTTATAACGTAAGTAGTTTTAATACAATAAATATAAAAATGTAACCAATTTTCTCTTCATTAAACCTCAATCGTTAATTCATCAAATGTTTAAACAGTAATATTCTTTACAATTGGAATTATAATAAATGAGAAATGATTGACAAATGAATTAAATAATTATGAAATATCTTAATGTTGAAAAAACATACAAATATCTAAATATGAGATTCTTTAGTAATCGTGACATTTCGGGAATAAGATCTTTGTATATAAATTGGCGGATAAGCCGTATAACTAAAGCCATTGTGAGGCAAACGTATTGGTAATCCTATAGTATTAATATCGCCGGAAAGCGATTCCTTCTGTGGCTCTTCTTTGATGGTGTGATCGATGAGATGATTGGCCGCCGAAACCGCTTCGGTGTCGCTTTCGGGCGTATTCTTAATGCATTCCAATGGTTCCGATGCTTCCGAGGCTTCGGGTGATGTCTTTTCGACAGATTCCGTATTTTGTGTAGTTTTACGAAAAGAGAGTGAAATTAACATAAAAACAACTGAAAGGAGAGCGAAGACACCGCCGATACACATGAGAACAATTGAGATGATATAAGGGGTTCTATTGAGCTCTTCTCTGGACTGCAAAATGAAAGGGTTGTCACGGAATGGAGAGGTCGGCGACACCGAAGACATTGCTATTATGATAATGCCTGCCATCAGAAGTATAACCCCGAAACTGATAGCACCGGCAGCACAGGCACAGCTCACAAACGATGGACTCACAGCTGGACTCAATGTTTGAGGCATTGAACAACTGTTTTGTTGGCAATACACTTAACAACTGTTTGCTAAAAGCAATTGCATTTTTATTGTGAACTCAATTAAATTTGAAAAACTTTTTGGAAGAAACTCAATGATTATTGCAATTGTGATCAAACATAATATGCTATTAATCTATAAATGCCAGTCATTACTACCAATAATATCAATACAATTGTGATATAATTCCGCAAAGAATTTGAAAATAATAGCAAAAATCAATAGGTTTTTGAATGAATTAATAAATAAAATTAATAAATGCATACATATATGGATGAAATAATTGTTTGCATCATTTCGAGTATTTTATTTTTGAATGAAATGCAAAAATTGAAGAGTTTCTTTTGATAAAAAAGTATATATCACACAATTGGCACTTACTTTTAAAATTTGGTATTTTTTGTTTAAAATAAACGATTTAATGAGCATTTGTTAATAAATTTGTTAAATAAAAAAAA